CCCCCAGGGGGCGGCGGCTGAGTCTGACCCCGGGGAGACGCTGACAGCAGCGTTACAAATCCCCGGGCTGCGAGCAGCTCAAGTGCGGAGGGTCCGTGCGGCGCTGGGGCCCGCCCCGGGTTTGGGGGCGAAGCGCGCGGGCTGGTCACGAGCGTGTCCTCAGGGAGCCCGGCACCGACACGCGCGTGGGCACGTCCGGGGCCCCGGGCCCGAGCAGGCGCGCGCCTGGGTTGTGTCGCGGTGCCTGGAGGGGGAGGATTGAAGCGGGGGGGTCGCAGGCTTGGAGATCGCTTTACGGGTTGTGCCGGGTGGTTTCAAGCAGTCCGGTTGCGCTGTCACCGTCGCGCAGGCTGGGGACAAAGCGGGGTCCTTTTTTTTTCTTCTCCTCCTTTTTATTACATGTTGGATTTCACGACCGTCAGGTCTTCGTGGCAGCGGGATAAAGTGATTCAGCTCCTGTTTTATAATTCACGTTGCGGACAGCGGCGCTTGTAGGAAAGTTAGCGGCTTTAAAATAACGTGGCGTGCCAGTTTACAAGTGTCAGGTATCCGGGTTGGAGCCGTGTTGGTCTAGAGGGGGAGAAAAAAAGCAATCGGGCCCGTGGTGGAAGTGATATTTTTTATTAGACCAACTAGATTTTTGCAACAACAAAAAAAATCTTTAATTGCAAGCTTTCAGGCACAAATGCTCCTCTGCAGACATCAGAGAAAAGATTCATAGGTGCGGCGGTTGGAAGGGACCTCAACAGATCGAGTCCAACCCGATTGTAAAAGTTTTCCTGGGTAGAAATGAAAGTTTGTATTTCATAGGAGAGTTGAAGGGATGGTAAAGTAAAATCCCCTGTTTGGAAAAGTTCATTTTATATGCAGATTAAGCTCACAGAAAAGTTGGAATAATCTGTTTACCTCGAAAGCTTGCAAGTAAAGACATTTTTTTTTGTTTTTGCAAAAATCTAGTTGATCTAATAAAAGATATCCACCTCTACCAAGAGTCCTGATTTGATTTTACAAGTGGAAATTTGACATTGTCAGTATTGCCAGATGAAAGCGCGCGCGTGCGTGTGTGTGTCTGCACACACCAAATTGTTAATTGAAGTATAACGTTTTGTCCTGCAGCTTTCCTTTCATTCAAATTATTTTTAACACTTGAAACTAAGAAAACAGTATCGCACTTAGGTCCTGTCTAGGTCCATGTGGAGTCGCAGATAAGCAGTTGACATATAGCCATTTGAACACTGCGCATAAATTAATTTCTAGGCTTGAAGTCCATATTTCATAGGAATGAAATTCCATTGTATATATGTCATGGACTTGAGTGTTGTATTTCAGTCTACCTTATTACCATATTTATAATTTTATAATACAGTTTTTAAAAATAGAAGCATTGTTTCTTGGTAGATTTAGTAAAAGTCTGGGAACTTCAGAATTATATTTCCAGCTCTAATACAGACTGCCTTTATGATCATGAACAAGTCATTTGAGTTATAAAGTTCCCTTTGTTCTCTGTGAACTGAGGGCAGGATCACTGGCACCTGCATGTGGGGCAGAGGGTGGTTGTGAAGCTCAAATAATGGCTGCAAAATGATTTGAAAATAAAAATTGTTGCATGCTGTCATTACTAGTTAATGATGTAATTGCCCTTACAGGTCTGATCCTGGAATCAGATCCTTATCGGCAAACTGCATGTCTACATAACTGCCCTCAGTTAAATGGGGTTGCATGTCAACGTTCTCAGCTGATTCAGTTTCAGGATCAGGCCTGTATTTTTGCATTCCCATCATGCTTCAAAAATGAAATCTATTTAAGCACTTAAAGCATTAAGTAATATTTACTGTGTTGGTCACAGCCGCCCATTGAAAATCCATGTCCCAGGTCTGGTGGATGTTGTTTTAATCATACCATGCATTTTAACATATTTCTTGTCTTTTTTTTAAACAGCATTCTGAAAATATCTGTTCCCATGTATAAAGATGTCGTTAGTGGATCTAGGGAAGAGGTTGCTAGAAGCAGCTCGCAAAGGACAGGATGATGAAGTGAGAACATTGATGGCCAACGGTGCTCCTTTCACCACTGATTGGGTATGTTTTGAGCAAAAAAGGCCCTCTTCTCTGGTATAGAACAGGGGTCCTGGGTGGCAGTATGATAACAGGTGACAGAATCTGTAGTTGCCTTTTGGATACACTTTCAAAATACCGTTTGAAGACCAGGCTGATGAATAACTGCATTTTACTGCTGACAGATTCAAAGTACTTCCTAGTGATATGATAATAAATTACTGTTTATACAATTCTGGGCCCTGATCCTGCAAGCTGATCATCATTGGAATGACCTGTTTCCTTAGTAAGGCACATGTGTTGAGCTTTGCTATTGGAAATAGTTCTGCTGAACTCTGTGGGGCTTCTTGTGGGTAGTAGAGTATATGAATAAATGTTTGCGAGACTGGGGCCAATCATGACATTGCACTCTTGGTAAATGACCGGTTTGGGTCCTTTATTCTTGGGGCAGAGCACCAAAATAATTCCTTTAAAAATGCTTTTTAAGATAATATTTTGTCAGCATATTTTAGAATATAGTTACGTGACAATACAGAGAAAGCACAGTGACCTGCTGAGCTCAGAGAGTGCAAGTGGGATTTAGAGCTGGTATAAATGGACAGGTAGTGAGCTTTTTAATTCTTATGGTAATACAGAATTATTATAAATGAAGCATCTTTAAATATTAGACAGATTTTTAGACTAATAATGAATTGATAACTAACCTAATGTTAACATCTGCTGTCTAATGTATGTGCACATACATTTAGTCCCATACAGTGCAGAATATACACACACAGGCACTTGGTGTCTTTAAGAAGTCAGATTTCCAAAACTGAACACAACAGTCATTGAAATACTTGGAAGAAGTAGTTAAATGTGAAGGATAGCTGGCAATTGTTTAGGAATGCTTTGTGAGGTCCGGAAAACCCCTGCAATTTTGCAGTTTTGGGGAAAAGTTTTCTGTTTAAAAAATAATCCGTCTGTTTAGGAAAGGTGAACAAACAGAATTCTAACAATATTTTAAATCTTCCCCTATCTAATATCGGTAAAATTCTCAATCATGATGTGGAAAAAGATAAAAGCATTCAAGACATCTTTCAAAATACAGAACAGAAATGAGGGTAGTGTTTTTCACTGTGATATGAATAAAACAAGTGTCACAGCAGATAAAGAGTACATTTGTTCCCAAAACAGCAAATGGCAAATACATTCACAGGTAAAGAGCTTAATAGTTTACCAAGGAAATATCTTTTGTTTTTTTTAAGTAAAAAGGTCAGGTGCATCTTTTTCTTTTATGAAATTAGTTAGTTGCAATTTTTTAAAACTGCTTAACATGTTCATTATAATTAACTTGTGCTTCGTGGACTGCTTTGAGCAGAGAGTAACTTTGTCGTCTTAAATCACTTTTAGCTTGGAACGTCACCTCTTCATCTTGCTGCTCAGTATGGCCACTACTCAACAGCAGAAGTGCTGCTCCGCGCTGGTGTTAGTAGAGATGCTCGAACCAAGGTAGACAGGACACCTCTGCATATGGCTGCAGCTGATGGACACACGCACATCGTAGAACTACTAATTAGGGTAAATGACATGTCATGTGTAAAACAATATGGAACATAAATCTAATAGCAAACATTATTGTACTACTTGATAAACCTTTTTTAAAAAGTTATGAGGTCATTAATGCTTGCTTAGATATCTTGGTGGTAGAAGACTGCCCCTTTTTTTGTATGATTTTAAAATTCTTCTTTAAATTATTCAGTGCAATTACATTTTATGTACTGAAACAACAACCATGCAGTTGGTGCACTGGCTGAAATGGGGAGTCATGTCAGTCATTGCATCATTTCCGCCTCGGGTCAGACAGGTTACCTGAGGTTCAGCCTAGAATAAGCTGAAACGAGTCCCTCTCTGGAGTCATCCTAAATAGACACTTATTGAGGAAAAAGGGAAGTGCATCACTTAGATTAAGTTAATAGTGTCCTTTTAATGTACATTTGCACTTGAAATGCTTTGCTTACTATCGCGACTAATGCCAAGGATGAATATGAGGGAGGTTGGTACCAAAACAAAGCCTCTGATTCCTTTGGTGTTGTGTGTCTGAATTTGTTAACACTTTTCTTTAGCCTGTTTTTCTAGAATTGCGGAATGTTTCTACTCTAACAGTATTTACGCTAAATAAATTCTTTGATTTCCCTCAGAACGGTGCAGATGTAAATGCCAGGGACATGCTGAAGATGACTGCCTTGCACTGGGCAACAGAACACAACCATCAAGATGTTGTAGAGTTGCTGATAAAATACGGAGCGGATGTTCATGCTTTCAGCAAGTTTGATAAATCAGCCTTTGATATAGCTCTGGACAAAAACAATCCAGAGACTCTGGTAATGCTGCAGGTGGGTGAAGGAAGAATACTGTTACCTGCCTGTAGCACAGGGCAATCGAATAAGAACAAGTATTCTTACAGAAGTTTCTCTTTGACATACTTGAATAAAAAATGAGTGCTAGCTTGTATAAAAGATTGCCTTATCAACCAGGTGTTAAAGTCTTAGAGTAATAAGTTTGAAGCATTAGTTCTATAGTAACTGATTGGCACTGCATCATGTGTAAACAGTGGAATACTCCTGAATTCATGGCATGGCCCTTTTTTATAGATTTTAATAAGCCTGCTTCAAGGAATGAAAATTAATATCATTCACTTTCTTAAGTTGATTGTTTGATTAGTAAAGGTCTCTAGA